GTTTGGAATTTTGTGAGCCATGTTTCTGCTTGGAGTTTTGTGAGGAGAGAGAAACGACGATTTCCGTATGGATCGGCCACTTACGAATAGCGCTCTTCGTCCGATCATATGCTGAGAGAACATTCCCGCCATTTGTTGTCCTCAATCAATCCTAATGCTCATATGACGGATTCCTGGAAGCGGAGCAATTGCTCACCGTCCTTTTTCTTCGCTTCGCTTTGCAGACTCATATCGCAGAAGGGTGTTCTTCAACTATGAGAAGCGCATCCGGACGCGCAGCCCTCCTGAGAAGGTAACTATATATGTCATGCTGCATGCTTATGTGATTCGATAAACTAGCAATGTTCTAATTGTGGTGTTCTTCCTGATAGATCTTTGAGTACTTTGCGTCCATCCGGAACCCGGAGGGCGAAGTCTACATGTTACCTGCCGACTTGATGAGGGCTATTGTTCCCGTTTTCCCTCCATCCGAATCTAATGTTGTCAGGGAAGGAAGACTCAGAGGAGAGCGCAACCCTGGCGAGCTACAGTGTGCTCCTTCTGAGTTTTTCATGCTGTTCGACACAAACGGCGATGGGCTCATCTCCTTTGCCGAGTAAGTGGTCCTGGCTTCAGCTGAAATGCCTAGCATATTTCCCATTTGACGTGGTATCCAATTTTCTACTACCAGATAGGAAGGTTTTTGTAGTTGTCTAATTATTATACTACAATTTGTAATGTTATACGTAGTACTTCACAAAGCTGCCACACAGATATTATATAGGTAATGCCTATTGAGCTTGAATCTTCTTAACGAGCATGCATGCTTATAGATAATAATATATGTAGGTATATAGGTGCCACTATGGTATTAGGCTATTAGCATTTGCATGCCTCTACCTGTTAGTCTGCAGGTGTGGTTTCATACTCTCTGCAACCATTAGTGATATTAATTCAATGCATTTCTTGAACTGCTTATGTTGCCTTGTGCAGGTATATCTTTTTTGTGACATTGCTTAGCATTCCTGAGTCGAGCTTCAATATAGCTTTCAAGATGTTTGACCTTGACCACAATGGGTAAGCCATCTTCCAGCCGCTGGAACCAATTTTAATTGTATCATTGCACTCTTGAGATTGATATGCCTCTGTTCTCTAAATAGTCTTACCCCAGATCAACTATGATGTTAATTTGTATAGTCTTTCTAGCTAGTGACATGTGAAGGAAATAAATATTCCTGCATTTTCTTTTCTGTTGAGAGCATGGCTAATAATAGAACCACTTGCTGGCTCTATCTCATTGCCACATCATTTCCAGTCAACCTAAGAGCCTACTCATATACTCCCTCCGTCCGAATATACTTGTCATCAAAATGGATAAAAAGGGATGTATCTAGAACTATGTCATCAAAATGGATAAAAAGGGATGTATCTAGAACTAGATACATCCCTTTTTATCCATTTTGATGACAAGTATTTCCGGACGGAGGGAGTATGTAATAGTTAGCCATAGATATATACTATGTCATTAATGTATGGACCACCTCATTCTCTCACAAAGTCTACAGTCCACTCTTTTTCTCTCTCTTTTCCTCTCTTCAACTCATCTCAAATCTGATGTGGCAACTCTTATGGCCCGCTTATGTCACCTTATTATGCTTCCTCTAACTGGACTTGATAAGTTTTGTTGATTAGAATTTCTGATATGCTCTGGTGGCAAACAAATGACTCTATACTTTTAGCATAAGTTCAGTAGAAGCACATGCCAAATTGCCAGCTGAAAAAGTACCATATCCATACGGAAACCATATATTAGATGTGTGGGGCTGACCTACTATCCATTTTGCTTCTCTTAGCAAGAAATCCAGCCCGTTAGATTTATCAAGTCTGTATATCGTGGTTCTATTTTAATTTCTTTTGTCTTAACAACATAGACCATACCTTGAGTGTTGAGTCCAAGAGTCCTGCTAATAAATTAATGAAATTTTGCGCAAGCAGATCACTGAGGCAATTCAAGCCATATAGACAGTATAGACCAAGTATCTAAGAATATAGCTGCTTTAGAGTCCACCTGGAACAAATTCTGATAGGGAAAAGAAAGATGTGGTACTCCTAAGTGGTAGTTCTTTCTTCTGCATTTGTTTTATTTTTAATTTTAAAGCTCTTTGAAGCCGTTAAAGGTATGCTTTCCTCTTTTCTATGGGATCTACGCAAGGATCCATTTAAATATTTCCGTGTTTGTGCTTTATTGTTGTTTACATGTCACCATTGGCGTGCAGAAAAAGACCTGCTTTCTGATCCGTGTTCAATCATCTCACTTGTTATTTCATGATGCAGAAGGGTATGAACCAAATTTGGCAAGAATTTTCTCTGTTATTTCAGTATTCTCATCTGCTATTTATCATTCTCAGGGAAATAGATAAAGAAGAGTTTAAGAAAGTAATGGCGTTGATGCGGTCCTATAATAGGCAAGGATCTGCCCACAGGGATGGGTTACGTATTGGACTCAAGGTTGGTCAGCCAGTGGAAGACGGTGGACTGCTTGAGTACTTTTTTGGCAAGGATGGCAGTGACCATCTACACTATGAAAAGTTCTCTGATTTTTTGAAGCAATTACAAGATGAGGTGATTTTTTTCCTTTTTAATCTTCTGTTGTTGAAATATTTACGTTCCAGCATCTTATTACTGACGCAAGATTCTCTATAGTCCTGTGTTGTGGGTCATGTAACCCATTTTGTGCGTGTATGTATTCATGGATATTGTACAGTCACCCCAAAATCCATCATACCGTGAACATATGTGCCAACTCAGTTTCTAAGCTACATGGTTGTCTCTAGGAACAGTGATAAACACAAGTAGGACATATCTTTAAGTTGTATACTTAGTACAAAGAGTCAAACACAAGCTGTAATGAACTTGTTTTTGTGTTGTCTGTCTCCGAAGCCTAAAACAGTGTGATGGTCAAAATTTTGACGACTCTACTACTATTCATCAATTTTATTTTCCACTAGCTGTGAAATTAGTGAAGCATGTTTATTTTATTCTACCTTGTAATATCCACACAGTGACCAACCCCCACACAGAGACATAAATCCAGATCTATAAACCCTGTTAATGGGCCGAAAAGGATGAACATTTTCTGTATAAAAATTCCAAATTAATTGGTGTAATCTCTGGTCTGATAGCATTTTTTTTGTTCAACCATCTTCAGATCGTTCGCTTGGAGTTCAGTCACTATGATATAAAATCATCCAAGACAATATCTGCTAAGGACTTTGCATTATCCATGGTTGCTTCTGCTGACATGAATCATATAAACAAGCTACTTGACAGAGTTGACGATTTTGATGAATCTCCTGATGTCAAGGATCTGCGCATTACCTTTGAGGTTTGGCAGTTTGCTATCCCGATTTCCCGGTTATATTTCTTGAGCCAACCATGTTTTAAAAGATCATTGATGTTATTTGGAAATTCAGGAGTTCAAGGCTTTTGCTGATCTGCGGCGAAGATTGGAACCATTTGCAATGGCTATCTTCAGCTATGGAAAAGTAAACGGTTTGTTGACAAAGCAGGATCTAAAACGTGCTGCAACTCATGTATGGTCTTCCATAATTGTATTTATTATAGATGTAGTCTGAAATACCTAATTCCAGTAGAAGTATTTATCTTAAGCTTTCTAACGATAATCACTGGCCTTTTCCCACTGTGTAGCCATTCTGTGCTAGCTGGACAGTTAGCTGATAGCTGATACGCTCTAGTTACCCACTTGGTTATTACTAGTTCGGATTTTTTTATTGCTTTAATGATCTTTTTTTATAGGTTTGTGGGGTGGACTTGACTGATAAGGTGGTGGATGTCATTTTCCATGTGTTTGATGCAAACTGTGATGGGAACCTAAGCTCAGAGGAGTTCTTGAGGGCACTACAAAGACGGGAAATCAATATTCGCCAGCCCACCACTCCAGGTTTAATGGGGGTATTCTCCTGCTGGCTGAACTGTACGAAGTGTTCTTTTCAACAAATGCTGCTTCAGTAGAATATATCTTGATACTAACAAGATTAGCCTTCTGTTGCCCTGGGCCACTTTCTATTTGATGTACGTAGGCCATGCTCAACAAATATGAAGTTAGTTGCTTCTGTCGCATTAACATTCCACTTGCATATATAGCTGGTATCTCTGATGGTTTTGGTCATGGCAGGATCTGAGCTGAAGAATGAATACAACAACCGCTAGATGTCAGCAGACACGATCTTGTTGTACATATTGTCCTGCAGATCAAAGTTGTCCAATTATGTAGTAGCTGTAAATAACACAATTCTGTTCTGGCCCAAGGGCTCAGTTGACAGATCTCTCCTTCACTGATGTAATGAACATGCGACTTTGAACCTCGTTTACTCTCTCCCAAGTTCTCCCTGTGTCCTTGTGTTCTCGTGCCGACACCTTTCAGGCTTTGCCAAGGTAGAAGACGGCCTAGACAAACAAAATTGTTCACTAGATCTTTTGTACTTCTATATCTTCGAATTTCTCCTGTTGCTCATCAGGTTAGAAGCTAAATGGCAGCCCGTGTCAAATGCTCCCTACGCTCCACAATGTTAGTGCATATTAGGTTTTCTGTTTCTATAGAATAAGCTATCGAACACTTAAAATATTTAATAAGTACTAAAATGCGAAAGTACACTTCATGGTAAATCTAATGGTACTAATTTTGTATTGTGCATGTTGATATTTTTTTCTTAAGCTTAGTCAAATATAGACATGTTTGACTTTTAATAAACGAAAACATGTCCTAAAATTTGAAACCGGGGGAACTATCTCTATCTTTGATTTGTAGGAGCCTGTCACCGTGTCCTATGTTATACAGTACTTATTTCATGGCAAACCGATGATACACTTCATGGCAAATCTATACTAGTAGTATTCAATTCAGTTTCATGCAACTGCATCTTCCTCTTGAACCGACGATTCCTACAAAATCAAATACACACGATAGATGTACATACAGACACAGAAACAGACACCAGGAATCAGTACGGTAGCCTGACGTTGAGCCTCCTGAGCCAGATGGAGTGCAGCACCATGTGAATCATGTCGAACCGCCTCGCCGGCCGGTGGAGCACGAAGTGCCGCTGCGCCTGCAGCACCCTGGCACGCAGCACACGGTACCTCCTCTCTGACACGCCCCGCAGGATGGCCTTCAGCTCCGGTATCCTAGCCGCCGGCACCGTCACCGACATCTTGCTCCAGTCCAGCACGTCGCTGAAGGGCAGCGGGTACCCCTCCGAGATGATCACCGGCACGCAGCCGGCGAAGACGGACTCCACCACCCTCGGGCTCGCCACCTCGAAGCCGCTGGGGCAGAGGCAGAACCGCGCCCTGGTCATGAGCGCATGGTAGTCCTGCCCGGCGTGGAGGTACTCGTGGACGTGCATGTCCGGGTCTCTGCCGACCCAGTGCTGCAGGAGGTTTCTGCGTATGTCGCCGTGCATCCCACCGGCGAAGAAGGCGAGTGTGGTCCGGTTCTCGGGCGGCAGGCCGAACGTCGGCCTGCGGAGGACGCCGTCGGCGAGGTTCACCTCCGGCAGCGTCGCGTCCTTCCTGGGCGTGAAGCCCTCGGAGGTGTTGGCGTTGCACAGAACCCGGATCGCGTTGCCGTAGAGCTGCCGGTTCCCCTCCGAGACTAGTGGCGCCCAGTCGTGGCACGACACGAGGACGTGGTCGGTGCCGCCGGAGCGGTTCCAGTACGGGTGCCTCTCGGCGACCACGCGGACGTAGTCCGCGACCAGGCGGCGCAGCGGCGCGAGGTAGGCGGTGGTGTTGAGGCGGTAGACGTAGTGGACGAGGTTGCATACGCTGATGGGGAGCAGGAAGACGTTGGCCTCGCCGGGGCGGCGCGCGGCGAAGCGGTTCCGGGGGTCCTCTATCTCGTACAGGAACTGGCCCTCGATGGAGTAGATGTCGGTGCCCGGGCCGAGGTGCGCCAGCGGCGGCTCCCCCTCCTGGTACGTCCATATCTTCATCCTCCTCTCCATCTCCACGTAGCTCCTGAGTGATCCATCGCAATACATCAGTCGTTTAACTATTTTTTTTAAATGACGACACATCGTCGCCGTTGTTTCTTAAAAAATATATGAAAAGCTAGATACTCAGGTACGACGTACCTGTGGAAGGCCCTGGCATTGCGGTAGATGGCGCCTCGCGGCGCAAAAGCGTCGCCGACGTCCCCGAAGCTCCGTATCCGGCGGACGCTCTCGTCCCTGAGCGCGCGAGCCGCCCGGCGGATGGCCACCCGAGACCGAGCCAGGCCTTCCTCGATCACGCCTCCGACCACCTATATAAACGCAACGTCAGATTCTACCTAGTACCTAGCTAGCGAACAATTCATCACCGCCACTACACGTTGTGCACTACGAAGCACCGATACGGCAGAAATCTCTGTATCGCCGTCCCGTACGCCACCGATACCCCGATACGCCAGATACGGCTTAGATACGGGTATCCCAGAAGTATCCCTTTTTTGATTTAAAAAGAAAAAAAAATGCCGATACGGCTGTGAAACACGCGAGACACGGCTGGGACACGCCGAGGCAGCCCCGAGCGAGCCCAATAGCCCACGATGGGTCGACTAAACCTAGTTCTCTCGCACCCTGTCGTCACCACTCACCAGGAAGGGATCGAGGGCGCCACCGCCGCCGCCGCCGCCGCCGCCTGGAGTGGCTCGCCGCCGCCGCCACCCCAACTTCCTGGAATCGCATCTCTGACTCTCTTCTGCTCTTCTCCGCCGGCGACACAAGGTAAACACCCGAGCCCCGATGTTGTACTGATGTATGGTTGATCCATTGATGTATGCTTGGGGCTTGTCTACTGCTGGCTTTATGTATCGTTGATCCGTTTATGTAGGCAGTAATAGCACTCTCATAGTCATAGCTCATAGGTGTATACTCTAGTAATAGTTCGATCTGTTCCTGCTAGCTAATGTTGGTTGGATAAAAGTGCTCGCTAAGGATGATGCTTGTTGGATAAAATTGCTAGTTGATGTTGCTGGCTTGCTGGTTGTTGATGTTTGTGGGGTAAAATTACTTGCTGATATTGCTGTTGCCTCCCATTGCTAGGGAAGAAGATACAAGTATACACCATGTCATCTGCGGGGAGTAGCCATTGAGAACTTTTGCATTATTTGTCTATGGCCATTGAGAATTTAGAATTGAAACTTGTTGGAGGCTGAGAACAAGGAAGTTTATATTCATTTCATCATTTGGTATGCTACTGCTACAAGCCAACTTGTTTACAACCTTTTCAATTTTCATGATTGTCTGTTTCATATTATCAAATCTACTATCATGTGATGTATTTTCTATTTTGCATACACCATGAGAAATTGAGGAGTCGAGGGCCTGGATGATCATTCAAAAGTGAAAAGAAAGAAGACATGGAAGCAATCAGGCAATCAGTGAGGCGGTATTTTGATCTCATCTCACATATTCTATTATGTTGGTTTTATTACATGTCATTTTATTATTATCTATATATGCTTGCCGTATCGCCATATTGCTGTTTTTAGAAATTGCCGTATTCTGTATCGCCGTACCCGTATCACCGTATCGGTGTCGCAGTATCGGTGCTACGTAGGTTGTGCATGCAGCCATGCACGCGTGCTACAGTAGATTACCTTCTTGTTGATGGCCTGAGTAGTCGCCGGTAGCAGCCTCGCTTTCTGGGGCTCGCCCGGGACGTGCCGCACAAAGTGCTCCTGGTGCCGGTACCCGCGCTCTCTGTTATGGCTCCCTGCTCTTCCACCCCAGACAGTTGACGGCAGCACGACGGCCGTCGCGACGATGACGAAGGCGATAAGCGGCACCGCAATGGCGGCGGCCCGTTCACCACCGTTCCTCTCCATGCGTGCAAGGTCGTAGCGATTAGCGAGAGATCCTTCCGCGACCGGCCGCTGGCTACTCGCCTCCTCACTGGTGTACAATGCTACGTGCCTCTTGAGCCTTGACTATGAGCTGCACTAGCCGTTTGTGTGTTAACAAGAGGCTAATCACGTTTGACTCGGTAAATCTGGTACTAGGTTCGTTGCATGCTGCATTTGAATCCAGAGCTCGCGCGGTGCGCAACTGATCTCCAGAGATATCTACGTGTCTACTGCCGCCTCAGCGCAGCGTGTCACTGTGGCAGAGTAAGATGAGGACCAGGAGGAGCCACCCGCGGCGCGCAGCGACCTTTTTGAGTGATGCACTGGGTGTGGGAGTCGGTCACCTTCTCCTGTCGCGTATCCACGACTTCAAACTTTGGATGTTTTTTTTTCTTTTTGAATAAGCTTACCTTCCGCTGGCCGATCGCACGCGCCCGTCCATCGGCTCCGTGTCCGTCGGATCGTCTTTTGGTCAGACGGACAAGAGCACCCGCACCCACGCGCACGTTTCTGCAGCTCAGCTGTGTAAGCGTTTTTGTTTCAGAAACGGTTTTTGAAATAGACAACGGGTTTTAAAGCGAGGAGTGGTGGTCAGATCCAGCAGCGGGGAGGTGAAATGCCTGTTAGGGAACGTAGTAATTTCAAAAAAAAAAAAATCTACGCACATGCAAGATCATGGTGATGCATAGCAACGAGAGGGGAGAGTGTTATCCACGTACCCTCGTAGACCGAAAGCGAAAGCGTTAGCACACCGCGGTTGATGTAGTCGTACGTCTTCACGATCCGACCGATCCAAGTACCGAACGTACGACACCCTCGAGTTCAGCACACGTTCAGCTCGATGACGTCCCGCGAACTCCGATCCAGCAGAGCTTCACGGGAGAGTTCCGTCAGCACGACGGCGTGATGACGGTGATGATGTTGCTACCGATGCAGGGCTTCGCCTAAGCACCGCTACGATATGACCGAGTTGGAATATGGTGGAGGGGGGCACCGCACACGACTGGAAGAGATCAACAGATCAACTTGTGTCTAGAGGTGCCCCCTTGCCCCCGTATATAAAGGAGCAAGGGGGGGAGGCGGCCGGCCAGGAGGAGGGCGCGCCAAGGGGGAAGTCCTACTCCCACCGGGCGTAGGACTCCTCCTTTCCTTGTAGGAGTAGGAGAAGGGAAGGAAGGGAGAGAGGAGGAGAAGGAAAAAGGGGGGCGCCCCCCCTTCCTTGTCCAATTCGGACTAGAGGGGGAGGGGCCGCGCGGCTGCCTTGGCTGCCCCTCCTCCTCTCCCACTAAGGCCCATTAGGCCCAATATACTTCCCAGGGGGTTCCGGTAACCCCCCGATACTCCGGTAAATGTCCAAAACCTCCCGAAACACTTCCGGTGTCCGAACATAGTCATCCAATATATCGATCTTTACGTCTTGACAATTTCAAGACTCCTCGTCATGTCCGTGATCATATCCAAGACTTCGAACTACCTTCGGTACATCAAAACACAAAAACTCATAATACCGATCGTCACCGAACTTTAAGCGTGCGGACCCTATGGGTTCGAGAACTATGTAGACATGACCGAGACACGTCTCTGGTCAATAACCAATAGCGGAACCTGGATGCTCATATTGGTTCCCACATATTCTACGAAGATCTTTATCGGTCAAACCGCATAACAACATACGTTGTTCCCTTTGTCATCGGTATGTTACTTGCCCGAGATTCGATCGTCGGTATCTCAATACCTAGTTCAATCTCGTTACCAGCAAGTCTCTTTACTCGTTATGTAATGCATCATCCCATAACTAACTCATTAGCTACATTGCTTGCAAGGCTTATAGTGATGTGCATTACCGAGAGGGCCCAGAGATACCTCTCCGACAATTGGAGTGACAAATCCTAATTTCGAAATACGCCAACTCAACAAGTACCTTTGGAGACACCTGTAGAGCACCTTTATAATCACCCAGTTACGTTGTGACGTTTGGTAGCACACAAAGTGTTCCTCCGGTAAACGGGAGTTGCATAATCTCAGTCATAGGAACATGTATAAGTCATGAAGAAAGCAATAGCAACATACAAAACGATCAAGTGCTAAGCTAACGGAATGGGTCAAGTCAATCACATCATTCTGCTAATGATGTGATCTCGTTAATCAAATGACAACTCATGTCTATGCTTAGGAAACTTAACCATCTTTGATTAATGAGCTAGTCAAGTAGAGGCATACTAGTGACACTATGTTTGTCTATGTATTCACACATGTATTATGTTTCCAGTTAATACAATTCTAGCATGAATAATAAACATTTATCATGATATGAGGAAATAAATAATAACTTTATTATTGCCTCTAGGGCATATTTTCTTCAGTCTCTCACTTGCACTAGAGTCAATAATCTAGATTACACAATAATGATTCTCACACCCATGGAGTCTTGGTGCTGATCATGTTTTGCTCATGGAAGAGGCTTAGTCAACAGGTCTGCAACATTCAGATCCGTATGTATCTTGCAAATCTCTATGTCTCCCACCTGGACTTGATCCCGGATGAATTGAAGCGTCTTTTGATGTTCTTGGTTCTCTTGTGAAATCTGGATTCCTTTGCCAAGGCAATTGCACCAGTATTGTCACAAAAAATTTTATTGGACCTGATGCACTAGGTATGACACCTAGATCGAATATGAACTCCTTCATCCAGACTCCTTCATTTGCTGCTTCCGAAGCAGCTATGTACTCCGCTTCACACGTAGATCCCGCCACGACACTTTGTTTACAACTACACCAACTGACAGCTCCATCGTTCAATATAAACACGTATCCGGTTTGTGATTTAGAATCATCCGGATCAGTGTCAAAGCTTGCATCGACGTAACCATTTACGACTAGCTCTTTGTCACCTCCATAAACGAGAAACATATCCTTAGTCCTTTTCAGGTATTTTAGGATGTTCTTGACCGCTGTCCAGTGATCCACTCCTGGATTACTTTGGTACCTCCCTGCTAAACTAATAGCAAGGCACCCATCAGGTCTGGTACACAGCATTGCATACATGATAGAGCCTATGGTTGAAGCATAGGGAACATCTTTCATTTTCTCTCTATCTTCTGAAGTGGTCGGGCATTGA